AATTTTGGCCTATAAAAGAAGGCATTTGCCATGCATTTAGGCATCTTGGTCTCGAAATCAAGATCATACTTTTACTTTCTCTTTGTGTAGTATTAATCGAATAAGATAACTAATGTGATCATGTTAACAATTTATAATCTGATTGGAACCTCTTTTGTGTGTGGTTTCCAATTGAATAATAAGAGTTTATACTATATTTGTTTGACATACCATTGCATCCTCTAACCGTGATATTTCTTGTTATCATTGTTTAATCTTTATGTTAATCTTCTATCTCAAAGTTCTCATTAACTTCTTCTTTATAATAATAATTATTATTACTATTACTATTACTACTACTATTTTTATTTTTATTGTTATTATTGTTACTATTGTTGTTGTTATTGTATTATTGTTATCTATAATTTATACAATTAACCTCCTTGTGGTTTGACCCCGGTCTTGCCGGGTTATTTATTACTTCGATACTCCTGCATTTAGGAGAAGACATCAATCTTTTGGTCATGTTACTATACTTATTTGACATGCCATTAGTGGATTCTTTGATCTTGACATTTATTGTGATCATTGTTTAATCTTTACTTTAATCTTCCATCTCAAGTTCTCATCAACTTTTTCTTTTTCTTCTATTATTATTAGTATTACTATTGTTGCTGCTGCTACTACTACTAGTATTATTATTACTACTACTACTATTACTACTAGTAGTAGTAATATTAGTATTATTAGTATTATTATTGTTATTGTTATATTATTGTTGTTTATAATTTATACAATTAACCTTTCTGTGGTTCGACTCCGGTCTTGTCGGATTATTTATTACTTCAACACTCTTGCACTTAGGAGAAGACATTAATTTTTTGGTCATGTCAGAACTCTTTCAATTCTTCTTTTTCTTTTTCTTTTTTGTATTTATTTCATCATCTCCAAACCAATCACTATCAATATCAATACAATTGTAATAAATTAGCATTTCATAATTAAACAATGCCTTATAGTAGTATTAATTACCATCACATGATTATTTTATCATCATTAATCATTTTTCTTTTTCTCTAAAACCAAATCACTACATAATTTTTTTTAAATTAACAGTTTTTTATTTTTATTTTCTAA